AAACAGGTCTGTTGATATTGGTTTGAGCAAAAGGTTAAAATTTGTTAATATATTTACAAATTTTATATATAAATATATTGACATTAGAAAAGCAAATGTTTTCATTCATTTTCAATATCGATTTAAAATAAAGTTAAAACATTAGTAATGTAAAAGGAAATATAACATGTCGGAAAACATGGTATTTTCTTTTGTCATTTTGACAAATTGTCATTTTATGCGCTAAATGACATCGCAATATGTAGTTTTGCAATTAAAAAAATATATATATACACATACAGCGACTGACACTGCTATAAATACTTGCAACACTTAGTTTTACTCACATTCGGCATTGGCGAGTGTTAATTTTAGTCTTTACTCTTAATGTTGTGTAATGTTTTCCTCACTGTATTAAAAATGGTTTCGAATATCAATATTTTTAAGCTACTGTATCAAAGTCGGAAATTCCTGAATCACGACAAAACTACTTAACAGAATTAAAACAAAGAAAAATAGTTTTACTAAAAACACATGCACTGAAAATCTAGAGAAAGTGATCATTTTCAAGTGCTCTCGTAAAAATTTAAATAGCTGTAACAAGTCTGTTAAAGTGTTGTAACAACCAATGTTAGGGAAAGTTACTTTATAGAAAGTAATATATTACAATATTGAGTTACTCCCAAAAAATTTACTTCTTGTGATTACTTAGTTACTTTTTATAGTAAGTAATGCGTTACGGCACATTTTATTACCTGGCTGAGGCTTTTTTTTCTCTTTCTTTTTTAATATAGTGGTGCTGCAATTAGCACAATGTACAACCTTCATTTATTTAAAAACCCATCAAAAAATAATCTTTTAAGATAATGTTATCTGAGAAATTCCTGACCCCAGAGCTCTACATGCCATATATAAAGATTATTTAAAGTTTAAAACAATGTGTTTGCTACTTTTGTACTATTTGCCTTAAGTAAAATCACTGCCCATTGAGACAATCCCCTTTTCCTTTTCTACGATGCGTTCGATATAATGAACACATTCTCTGATTGACTGTGATTCATTGTGAGTACTTTAATTTTAATTCAGCAATTTATTTTTTTAAAGCTAATTAATTAAAGTAATAACAAATTATTATTATTTTTAAAAGGATTTTTTTTTACTTTACTCATTACTTAGAGAAGTATCATTATTAATGCGCTACCCAACACACTGGTAATGATACTGGAATTTTGATACCAATTTGTACTGAAATGTTAAAAACATCCACTTCCCACTAATCAGAGTTATTTCTGTTGAACACAATGCCCAATCTGTAAGATGTAGTGTAAGCATCACCTGGTCTTTGAGCTGCTTGACGGAGTGCTGCAGGGTGAGGATGTGGCTGAACAGAGGGCTCTGCAGGGCTTCTTTCAGTGTGCCGAGTCTGTCGCTGTGAGTCCACTCTTCCCTCTGAACCAGCTTCGACTGCAGCCTTTCCAGAGCCTGGAGCACCTGCTGCCGCTCCGAAGCAGACACTGACAACACACACACCAACAGCAACACATGAGCCATGCAAAAACCCATCAAACACGTCACATTAGTTAAAAAGAAAATCACTTCATTTAACGATACCTGTTGGTACGTTCTCATACATCGTGGTTCTCTTGACAATTTAGTAGGAGGGTTATCTGTGAAAGAGAATAGAAATGGATTTATGAACATTTTTGGGTGGCAATTTGATTATAAATTTAGACAACATCAACGAAAAACGAAATGCCAATATTAATTAGGCTACTAATTTGCTTTGGAAAATAAAGGCTGAATATATATTCAAGTGCAGTGTCAATAACATAATCAATAAGTAACATAGATTTTCAAAATTCAGTTTCTCTTACATTTTATTTTTAGTTCGGACAAATAATAACATATTTGTTTTATTATTATTATCATTAATAACATCAATAATAAACACACTTTTTTATGCAGTCATTATTGTTATTATTATTTGCAATATTGTTGGCTAATATAATTTTTGATTATTAAGTTGCACCAAATACATTCATTCAGACTTAATTTGTTAAAGACCAAGATATACAAACGAAGCATATTTATAATAATAATAATTTTATATACTTAAAATAAGTTATTTACAGTTTTAAAATATTTATGTAGACAAAAATAAAGTAATAAAAAGATTAGAAAAGAGACTAAATATACATAAAACTACAACATGCATATTAATTAAGATGACATGGTAACATTTTTCAGTTTCTGTAATAATTAAAACCCTGAATTGGTAATAACTAGGGAAGCTCCAATTGATCGGCCGAATACCGGTATCGAACGATAATCACATTTAATGACTCAATCGTTACTTATCAATCTGGCCGATTTCATGAACCGATTGCAGATGTTTAAATAGTTTATAATATAACTTCTTGAAATATACTTGCAATAAAGAGCAGTTCATAGGCTTCTTTCCTTTTAGTAAAGAAATAGTGGATTTATAGGTGTGTACTTATGCACCAAATATGCACTCAAATTTTTCCAAATTGCATTATTTGTTATTTTTCTTACCAATTTTTATACCCGTGTCAAATTATTTTCTGTAAAGCTGCATCTGCCCATAACATGTCCACTACACTAATGGCTCGTTTCCACTGACTGCTACAGTATGGTACGGTTTGGGTCGGTATGGGTCACCTTTATCAGGCTTGCATTTCCACTACCAAGGGTACATCATCAATGTTTCCCCCAAAGATTATGATTCATCTTAGTTTTACTACATTTGCGCTGACATCTCATGTTTATAATATGATTAAAAAAAATAATAATAAATAAAAAAAATACAAATAAATAAAAATCCGCAAAGCATTTTATTAATCTTAAAGGTACAGTTTGCCCAAAATTGAACATTTCCTCACCATTTACTCACACTCAAGTGGTTCTAAACTTCTTTCTTCTGTTGAACACAAAACGTTCTGAAAAATGTTTGTAAAAGTGGCCCTTAGAATCCATAGCAATAACAAATATGAATACACAAATAATTAAGATAGCATGATAACATTTTTCAGTATCTGTTATAATTTAAACCCTGAATTGGTAAAAACTGATAAATCATCAATGTTTCCCCCAAAGATCATGATTAAACACAGTTTTACTATATTTACACTGACATCACATTTATAATAATATGATAAAATAAAGTGCAAAGCATTTTATTAATCTTAAAAGGTACAGTGCAGTTTCCTCAACATTTTCTCACATCAGGGGCGGACTGGCCATCTGGCAATTCTGGCAAATGACAGAAGGGCCGGACCATTTTATAAACGGCTATTTTTTTATTTATTTTTTAATACAGTATGTATTGCTTTTTCACATGTAAGCAGCTTTTATCTCTTGCAAGATGTAAATATTATGATGATGATGATGAGGATAATAGTAAGAATATTAATCAATGTTAAGCATTCGCCCAATCATCAACAACCGGCTGGTTTCGAGATGGGCTGACCCAATCAGAAGTTATGCAGACGTAATCAAAATCTAGCAAGGATGTCAAACACACAGTAAGTGCAACAAATTGATAGAGATGGACCATAAAAAGGGAAAGGCAGTCAAGTCCGATTGGGAGTTGGGTAACCCAGTACTGGGTTGCAGCTTTGAGGGCATCCGCTGTGTAAAACATATGCTGGATAAGTTGGTGGTTCTAAGATAAATAAAGGGACTAAGCCGAAAAAAATGAATGACATGATTGCATATATAAATGGGTTGTTTTTGTTTTAGTCACATACATTAAATGTTTAAATATATCTTAAATATGTTACAGCTTATATAATTTTACCATCTGTACACCAATATAAGTAGTGAATGTGCGTGTCCGTGGGTGGGGCTGTGTTGGTGTGGTAATGTGGGCTGGTGTGGCTACAGTGCCAGGGCTGATTTTTAGTCCCAGTCCGCCCCTGTCTCACATTCAATTGGTTTTAAACTTTCATTGGTTCTTTCTTCTGTTGAACACAATACAAAATGATCTGAATAATGTTTGTAAAAAGCAGCATTTAGAATTCATAGCAATAACAAAAAACACTAAAGAATTCCCTCAGCATTCTCAATATCTTCCTTTGTTTGAGTTTCTTTAACCTGTTAAACACAGTTTTGGAGTAGAGTAAAGTGAGTAAGTAATGACAGACTTCTCATTTTTGGGTGAACTACCCCTTTAAAGTCAATTAACAATTTCCAGAACCGACATGGAAGAGCTTTTATAATATGAAGTAGCAGTTTCTGTTCACGTGAGCAGCCAAAACAAAAGAGAGAACATTCACTTTACTTACCTACAATATTAATGTCCATACACTTCCTCTTAAGGATGAAAACAACACCCAGTCGCCTCTGAATCCTTCATAAAACCCAGTTGAGCATCTGAAGTGTTGTTTATAGCTGTGATTGAGCGCAGTTTTTGTCTGTTTACACCTGCGCGAGCCTCACCTGAAACCAGGAAGTACGCGTCATTCCAGTTTCCGTCAACTTTATCTGGGGTAAAACACAAGATAACAGAGACATCGTGACGTAAGCGAATGCTAAAAACATTTCTAATGTTGAATTAAAGCATTTTTAATATAAAGTCATAATAAATAAATTACACAAACGCAATCAAACAGGTGCATAAGCATAAAACACTGAAATCAGTTCTGTAAAAACTTCCTGACAGCATGAATAAGACGATAAATAATGGTTTTATCAATCGAAACGAGCTTGGTTCAAAAGGAATATATTAGTGAAAAGTTAATCACTGCAAAAAAGGCTCAAACACAAACGTCCTCGTTTTTCCCATTCTGAGACACAGGCTAGCGCAGTTAGCCGGGAATAAAGTTCATCATAAGCATCAAACACCGCGGAAAAGTTGAACTGACATCAGTTTTTGAGTGTAAATATGCTCTTACAAAATAACCCGGCTTGACTAAATATATGCACGCAAGTAAATGCATTAAATGAGAGAATTTCGTGAGACTTACATGCTATGTGTGCGGCGAATCTAATGCACTGTTTCTTTAAAAGCCCTGGCAGTCACGTGACAGTTCAACATGGCGTTTCGCTGGAGAAGTTTGATGCGCTTTCGATCGACAACAAGACTGCTGCTTTTATTCACTTTCTGTCTGACTGTCATCCACAGTTTGAGCAATGATGTGGACAGCTGTGATAAACTCCATCTGGGACAATATCCTTTCAAAATGTCTACAATTGATAGGGTTGTTGAATTATTAGCATGCTAGCTTGCATTGTCGCTAATTGACGTTTGTGCTAATTTAGCATGTTAGATATTGTTTTTCAATTATTAACGCACAATCATAAGAAATATTTTGTTGTGGTTTTGTAATTCAGACGTGTGTTGAGTGATAATATGTATAGTAAATACGTCCTAAATAGCGTGCTTTGTATAATTCAGATGTCTGTTTATGACAAATCATAACATTTGAGGTTTTTTTTTATTTGATAATCAGGCGTAATAATGAATTAGATCCTGTTGATGATCTTGTTGGTCATCCATTAATCACTATTGAAATTTAGCATCACTATTCTTACTTTATGATGCAAGTATAATGATAAATATGGACCATTTTGATGGATGTAAACAATAGCATTGGACTTAATGTATTTCCTCTATTACATTTTGAATTTCCATAGCTTTCAAGAAACCAAAAAGGTCACAAATTGATAAATTATGTTATGGCAGACGTTTTAACATCAAGATATAGTTAAATTGTCTCTTGTTACAGTTATGAAATAGTTTGGTAACAAGTATGAAATGTTTATGGGCCAGTGACATGGTCACATTGAGATGTTTTATAAGAGATATGATTCCACCTTAACAGAGCTCAAGTATTTGTGTAAAGAACCCAGAATAGATGATGCAACTCAAGAACCTGAAACCTGCAAGGACCGAGTGGCTTGGGGTGGGTTTCTATTTGTATTATATATTCCACATACAATATATGTATACTTCTGTTTATAAAATGTATCGTTGTGATATTATAGTTGTTTATATAAATATGGTAATTCATTATTCTTTATTCATCATTCACTCCTTTGAACTGTTTTAAGAAACTTCTCAAGACTCACCTTTTACCGTTGGTTTTAACTTAAATTGATCATTTTTGTAAATTTATTCATTTAATTTTATTGTTGAATTTTTGCCTTATTGTGGTGTTTATACTATTTTTTTTGTTCTGCTTTGTTACTGTTTGCCTTGTATGCCTTGTAGCACTTTGGATCTGAGAAAAGTGCACTATAAATAAAATGTATTATTATTATTATATTTGGACAAATTACATTAACTGTAATTTATTATTAGAACAAATGTTTTTTTTTTTTTAAATAATTCATTCATTCATTTTCCTTTGGCTTAGTCCTTTTAGTAATCTGGGGTTGACCCTGGATTAATAAAGAGACTAAGCTGAAAAGAAAATGAATGAATGAATGAAATAATAATAATGATAATTATATATATATATATATATATATATATATACACAGTTTAATTCAGAATTATTAGCCACCTGTTTATTGCGTTCCCCAATTTCTGCTTATCGCAGAGAAGATTTTTACAACACATTTCTAAATATATTAGTTTTAATAACTCATTTCTAATATCTGAATTATTTTATCTTTGCCAAATCAAATATCAAGCATCAAATATTACAGTGAATAATATTTGACTAGATATTTTTCAAGACACTTCTATACAGCTTAAAGTGACTTTTAGAGGCTTAACTAGGTTAATTAGGTTAACTAGGCAGGTTAGGCTAATTAGGCAAGTTATTGTATAATGATGGTTTGTTCTGTAAAAGATCGAACATTTTAAAAAAAAATCTAGACTAAAATATTTCTATATGTGTGTATCTTTGTGTGTACTGTATGCTGTTATAAAATGTAATAAATTAAAAAGTATAACATTTTTTTTAAATCTGCATTTTGACTTATTTTACGTTGTTTTAATATTTGTACATTGTTATAATAAATTTGAAATGTTATAATAATGTACTAGTCCATTTTCCTTTATATTATCAATTTAAAATGTTTACCATGCTTTTCTAATATTTTTATTATAAAAATTGCAGAAATCAAAATGTATAATATAATAAAATATATATTATGAAATATGTAATGCATATAATTGTTAGATTTCGGACTTAAATTTTATATTAATATGTTATATAATTGTATACTAAGTGCAATTACATGATAGGGCTGCACACTATATCATTTCAGCATCAATCTCACGAAGTGCACATCCACAATAGTCACATCACAAAGATATGCAATGTCTAGTCTGAATTATAGTTGACCAGGAGCTACAGAATTGTATTAAAACACCTGTGTTTATATGGAACTTATATTATTTATGCAAAAAAATATTTCCTTCTTAGAATTTTTGTCTTGTTCCTAGCCCAAATATCTACATTTTAAATTGAAAGCAAAATTATTTCACTTACCCAACGGGCAGATAATTTCCTTAAAACAAGCAAAAGACTCTTCATTTTCATATATTTCTTCTGATGGTAAAAAATTAAACAATATTTTTAGTTGGACTAAGAATTTTTTGTTTTGATATTTGGACTTGACAGACAAAACAAAGTAAGAAAAGCATTTTTTTTCCCATTGCGATTATTCAATTTCTGTACCTGAATACTGTAAGACTCTCAAAAAATCAAATAGAGCTATTCAAACCATCTTTTAAAACTGTATTCTTATTGCGGAAAAATAAAACAGCGCAATATCAGAGTTTTCAATATTGTGCAGCCCTATTACATAACTTATTTTCTTTACGTTAATGCGTTATGTATTTCATATAGATATATACTGCATATTTTACACTTGTGTACTTAATCATTTAAAAATATTATTATAAAGAAAATATATTTGTGTATGCTGACAAACAATATCTAGTTACTGTATGTGTCCCTGCATGAAATACGAAGTCATGAATCAAACGTTGTCTTGTCATTGCAGTGGAATGCCTACCTGCCCCAAACATCAGCTGTCGGCTGTCAAATGGAACACAGTTCAAGTTCAGCGGTGAGGAGGTCGGCTTTAACAAAACCATCCCATGTCGAAATGTGTAAGTCAAACTTTATTATAACGTCATTATAATTTGTAAATAATCCCATGCACTAACATGGATGTTTTCTTTAATATTAGGAGTGGTTACTCCTATAAAGTAGCTGTTGCTCTGTCACTCTTCCTGGGATGGATTGGTGCAGATCGGTTCTACTTGGGATATCCTGCCTTGGGTAAGATGCTATTCTTTAGTCCCTTAGCCCTTCCCCTTACCCCCACCCCTCATTTTGCATGTTCATGTGAAGGGGTAGGGATGTCCCAGTTCTCTTTAGCTTAAAGGCGTAGGGCCAAGGGGAAGGGCTAGATACCCCTTGAAACGAAGATTTTTTAGGGCCACACTCGAAACCAAGGGGTAAGAAAATTCCCCAGAATACACCATATACAACGAAAGCATGGCTGCACACAAAAGTCAGGAGATGCACAAAAAACAAAATAGAATTGGCCATTATTTGAGCGTTCTTCATAAACAAAGTGGCATTAAAGACATGAAATGAGAATGCAAAATTTGTAAATGTTGCAAACCCTATTTTAAATTTAGTTGGGCTTTAATCCAACGTTGCATTTTTGTGTGTACTGTGGCCTGGAATCACCTTTTCTGGCATCAATTTACTTATCAATATCTCATGCTAGTGCTGCACTGCAACACAAGGGACCTTTAAAATGGACAGAATCAGTCCTGGATGTTCTGCTGTTGACATCATCTGTGGCCTCTTTTCCAAGGACACACCTTTTCGCCAGATGTTCTGTGAATACGCATCCCACAGTCTTATTTTCTTGCACTGATCTTGATGTTTTCTTTACATTTATATGGACTTTTTGAGTGTTTGATT